TTAAATAGATTTTAAGAGGTACGAGTGTTTTGTCGTTACATGGCTGAGTTGCATAAGGGCGAAGTCTAGGCTTTTCACAGAGCTTCATAAAGGCTCTGTACACGAGTCTTTGTGGAGTCATACTGGAGGCCACGGGACTCAATGAGCAGGAACAGAAGGTGAGGAGAGAGAGGACAGCAGGAGGTGCTGTCACAAGAAACTGTTGAGGACTTCGGGGTGTTGTGCAATGGAACACTTTAATGCTGCAGCTCTTTTCTGAGTGACTAAATTATAAGGTTGAAAGCTTGCTGCATTCCTAAGTTTTGGAACTATGAGGCGAAGGCCTGATAACAGAAAGTGGGTTTGAGGGAGGTGAGAAAACTGAGCCAAGTGCAGGAGGCTTCTAGGAGAAAGTTTCTTCTATGATAGATCTTTGGTATATTAATGTTCATACTTTTCTAGGCACATTTTGGGGACATGCTCTCTCAAATGGTTGTTTGGATGTTACTCCTTATAAAAAACACACAATCCTTTATGCTATAGATTTAGCATTTCATTCAAATGAGGGAATGATAAAAGCTAGGCCTTTTCACTGATACTTAGTTGTCAGTAATTGTACATTTACTGAGACTTCTTGGTGTAGGTTCTGTCACTTTGAAACCTCCCTGTGTCCCAGTGTTTTAAGTATAGGAAAATGCAGACTATTTCCATGGAACTAGATAGTAGATGGGAACTGTCATTTCAATGTATGATAATAATATCATCATAGGAAGTGTTCTGAGATTTCTGTTCAGACTCATTTCTTTTTTAATGTCTTTTTATTTAATTATAGTATTAAAAATACAGTTTCACCTTCCCTGTGTATACCATGGATTTGGTTAGTGGCATTTTAGTGGGGATTTAATTTCTGATTTATATAACTGCTTATTAAGCCACTTTATTCCAAACAGGAAATGATGGATGTCAAGCAATTCATTGATAAACTCCTACCTCCAATTGATTGATGTCACTAAGAGGCCTTGGTAGAAGTACACCAGCATCATTGTAATAGAGTATAAACCTTTTCCCGTGCCCACTCTCCAAACTTCTGATGTTTGCAGTGTTAAACTGTTTTGCAAATACACACCAGTGACACAGAGTAAATAATGTCTCCTCATGGGAAATTTATGATCTTTTACATTTCTATACATATATTCTTATGATCCAGAATATTACTAGTATTAAGGTGAAGCAGCTAGCTTCTTTTTTCTCAAATGTAATTCAGCAAAATAAAAAATACTGCAACCAGATTTTTTATTACATCATTTGAAAACTACTAGTATGCTTAATGAAAATTTGTTCAGATATAAACGAGCAATTAAGATATAAATGATTTATGCATGCTGTGACTTAGTCTGTGGATTAATTCCAAAATTGCTTAGTCACCATGCAGTGTCTGCATTTTTGTATGCGTATTCCTATATACATAATGATTGTAATACACAGTAAGAATGAGGTGGTATTACATTATCCCTAATAACAGGGATAATGTTTTTTAATGTCAATAAAGAGTAATATGGCTGTCCTCAATCAGTGGCCCTTTTATTTTGGGACCAGGCTTTTCTTTTCCCTGATACCATTTCTATTTAATATTCTTTTCTCCTCTCAAGAAAAAAAAAATGTTCTTTCTTTCTTTATTGTACTTCATTGCAGACCAAATATTGCCTCCCAGCCATAGACATCTGCTGTCTATACATGCTATAATCTCACATTCTGAATCACAGACATAAGGTATTAAAATCTATACTTTATAAAGAAACCAGACATTACTTAAAACTTTCTGCACTACTTATTTCAAATAGCTACACCTTAGTCCAAGTTTAAACCTATTTAGTTAACAGACAATTCAAACCCAGTAACAGGAATAATTCTGTGGTTTTATTTTTTCTGTAAGCAACTGAAAGAATAATTATATTCTGGTATGTTCTGCAGTATTTAAGACTGATCTTAAAAACTAATTTTTAAGATGATTTGGTCTCCTTGTAGCACCGAGTTTAGGTTTACTTATTTTGTACATATGTTTGAAACCAACTGCTGTAGAAAATGAGCAATCATGCATTGTAGATGTTTAGTGAAAATAAAAAATAATAATGTAAAAATGAAAATGAGCAATCCATTAAAAAAGTTGCTTTATTTTTATCTGCCAATGGACTTATTTGAAATTTTCACTTTAGTCAGTGATATTTCTTTTAAAATTAGTTTTTTGTGTGAATATAAAAATAGCAACATTTGATTTTAAATAGTCAGAATTTCTAGGTTACTGGTAAAAATTATTTGAAAACAAATTTGTGAGTAATAAAGGTTAGTCAGAACCTTATATGTATGATGTAATTACCATGCAGTTTAATATGTAGCAAAAATATATGCTCCATATTTCTGAACTGTTAACTTTTCTGCTGTATTCTAATTGACCAAAACAATGTTAAGAATGCATCTTTATAAATGGGTGCTACCTGATAATGGAAATAATTTAGTAATGGACTATATAGGATGTTAATGATGAAGCCATATGTTTATGTCTGGATTTAAAAATTTTAAACAATCATTTACTAAGTCATTTTGCTTTACCTTGAAGAACATAAACTGTTACTTCAGTTACACAAATCAGCAAGATCTTATTTATGGCAAGAAATATTCCGTTGAAATGTTATGCTGTAATGTGGGAAAATGTAATGTTTTTCACGGTTTCTATCAATGTGAAATAAAACTTAATTCCGACTTTTCTGTGACTTTTTTTGAGTGTTATTTTAACATTTGGGTTTACCTTGGAATGAACATCTGTAATGAAAGGGAGAAAAATAACAACTTTAATCACAAGGTTAGATGTACGAAGAGAGATTTTGATGATGGTGTGGTTGGTTTAGAATGGAACCAGGCATGGGAAATAATCTCATGTTATTCAATTTTTTTTTTTTTTTTTTTGAGACAGAGTCTCACCGTGTTGCCCAGGCTAGAGTGCCGTGGCATCATCTTAGCTCACAGCAACCTCAAACTCCTGGGCTCAAGCGATCCTCTTGCTTCAGCCTCCCAAGTAGCTGGGACTACAGGCATGCGCCACCATGCCCGGCTAATTTTTTCTATATATTTTTAGTTGTCTGATTAATTTCTTTCTAATTTTAGTAGAGACGGGGTCTCGCTCTTGCTCAGGCTGGTTTCGAACTCCTGAGCTCAAACAATCCGCCCGCCTCGGCCTCCCAGAGTGCTAGGATTACAGGCGTGAGCCACTGCGCCCGGCCATGTTATTCGATTTTAATCTGCTGAGAAAAGATTTCCCAAATTTGGTTTTCAGTGTCTCTAACCTATTTTAAAAGTTTTAATTGGTGTTTTCCTTTTGTCTTTTTCTTTAATGTAGTATTCATTGGGATTTTTAAATTAGTGTCGTAAATCAGTTATCCACATAGTTTTTTTCCTCCTATTTCCCCATTGACTTCTGACTTTTACCAATACAGGAATCCTTGCTGTTCTGTTAAGCAGTCCCTCAGTTTATTAAAGTGACCAGCGCTTTCGAGTGTGCTTTCTTCTGTGTCTAGATAGTCCTGATGGTAAGAGAGTTCTGTACCAAAAATATCGTCTGACTTCAACTCCTTTTTTAGATTATCCTCCACAGCAGCACCTTATTTCATACGATACTCTTTATTTCATCATCCTTTTGAAAATATTGTGTTCATAATTAAATGTGGTCAGAACTTGGTGCTGTTACTGTCTATATACCAATTAGATAACAATAGCTGAATGTATATGTAAATAAATTGAAAATTTGCCCACTACTACACTCAGTCTCACTGCCACCTTTTAAAAGTAGACATACTTTTAAACCCTCCTAACAAGTATGATTTTATTTTGTAGAAATTACTAAAAAGTAAAAATGTAATTTGTTAAATGTTTAATATATTCCAGGCACTATGCTAAGCATTTTATATCCTTTATCCATATAAACCTCTCATCACCTTATATCCATTTTACGGAAGAGGAAACTGATGTCTAGAGAGGTGAAGAAATGTTTGCCTCCGATTAGAAAGGTGTGACTAACTCCGTGGTCTTCAGTGCCAGTGGGCACACACAAAAATGTGTATTTCATATATTACACAACATCCAGAAATGGCTGAGTAAAACAATGATATTAATAAAAATCAGCTCATCATAAAGAAATTGCAATCTCCAGTGACCAGAGGGAACTAAAAGGAAACTAAAAACCCACATAGCACACTTCCCTTTGGGGCTTCCATGAGGTAAAGTGTGTAAATAATTCACCATTATAAAGCCAGGACCCTTTTAAGGGCTACACACAAGGTGAACTAGGGAAAAAAATAATCTAACCAGCACAGAGAAGTGAAGGGAAGCATCGCTGCTTTGGCCTGAGCTCTGGCCCGGGAGAGGAAGAGAACCTTCCCTTGAAATGTTTTAACCAGGAGCTTGACTCCACGTGTTTAGATTTTGAGTTTATACTATTTATGTGGTTTGGCAACACAGACCTTTATGGTAATACCAAGAATCTCCCTGAACTGGCTGTGCTCCTCAGGCACCTGGAAGAGGAAAACACAGATTCTTTATGGAAAATGACATCCACAGAATTTAAATTTTGAGGTTGCATAAATTCAGCCTTGTCAAAAGTGAGCTCAGTGCCCCCAAATTACAAACCATGTGAGGTAACAGTTTACCTACTACAAATGTTTACCAGATGACACAAAAGATAAAAGGATGATTAGACTCCCAGGAACTTGAATAAACAATTTTTAGATAGAGTATGAGAATGTTAAAATAATCAAAGACAAACAGTAAATAAATGAAAAAAGAATGTAACAGTAAAAAAATGCAGATTTGAAAGAGTTCTAGAAATGAAAGCTAGCCATTCAAAAACCTCAGTGGAGAAGTGTTATTTATGACAGCACAATATTTTATAAAACCCAAATAGCAAATAAAAGTGGACCTGCTAAATAAACTATCAAACACAATGGAATGTTAGGCAGCTATAAAAAAGATGAAGATGCACTGTATTAGTTTGGAAAGGATTCAGGATACATTATCAGATGAAAAAAATGAAAAACTGAAAGAGGTGGAGGAAATGAGACCACATATTTGACTTGGCTGTAATTTGCATTATTAACACTAAAAGGATACTGAAGAATCTAATAAAAGTGGTTATCTACAGAGCATGGGTGGGGAAGGAATGTGGGTGAGGACGGGAGTGGGAGGGAGCAAGCCTGCCCTTGGGATACACTGTTTATTCAGATTTTTTTATTGTGTTAGAATATACGTAACAAAATTACGATTTTAACCATTTTTAAGTGTACAGTTCAGTGGCATTAAGTATATTTGCATTGTGCAACCATCACCATCGTCCATCTCCAGAACTTTAATCTTCCCAATGGAAACCCTGTACCCATTCTTCAGATTTTGGATCATGTTAATATATGACCTATAAAAAAGATTCAAATGGATGAGTTAAACTGTGAATTAGACACAACACAATTGAAAGATAGCTCTGAGGAATTTACTCAGAAGGAGGCCCAGTAAGCAGAAGGGAGGGTAAGAGACTAGAACAATAAAAAGGTCCAATGCAAAGTTAATGGAAGTTGCAGAAGGAGAGAACAGAATGGGAGAGAAGAAATATCTGATGATAAGATGGCTGATATGTCTAGACCCGAGGAGAAGTAAGAAACCTCAGGTTCAGGAAGCAGAAATGAGTTACTAATAGAATAAATACGTGAATGAAATCTCCACTGAGACACATCATGGTGAAAAACAAAAAAGCACACCATAGAAAAAGATCTTAATAGCAACCAGAGAAAAAGAACGTACTTAAACTGTCACACAATAGACTCAAGAAAAACACCGCCGGAGGTCAAAAGATGATGGAATAATATCAAAGTTGGAGAGAAATGCAATTTGGGGTTTTCTACACAGGTAAACTCAAGGCTAAAGGCAAAAGCAAATCTTTTTTAAATAAATAGAAAGTTTATAAGAAAAGGACTACTGATAGAACTTTTAAAAGATGTTCTTTCAGAAGAAGGGGAGGAAATCGATTCAAAGAATGGGGAACAAAGACAGTGATAAACATTTGGGTAACTAAACAAGCACTGATGACTACATAAAACTAATAATACTAATTTGGGGGCTAAAATACTGGATAAAAATAAAGAATATACAAAAATCAATCATATTTTATATACTAGCAGTAAGCACATGGAAATCAAAATTTAGAATGCAATACCATTTACAGGTGCTAAAAAGGAATACTTTAGTGTAAATCTAAAAAATTTTGTGCAGGATTTGGAGGCAGAACTACAAAATGCCGATGAAAGACATCAAAGAAGATCTAAATAAATGGATATTTACACCACGTTCATGGATTGGAGGACACAACATAGTAAAGATGTTAATTTCCCCACACTGATATACAAGTTTAGTATAATTCCTGTCAGAATCGCAGCAACATTGTTGGAGTTATACACAAGATGATTCTAAAGTTTATATGGAAAGGCAAAGGAGTGAGAGTAGCTTAAACAATGTCGAAAAAGTATCTCTCTTCTTTTAAAAAGTGGGAGGAATCTCTCTACCAGATTTCAAGACTTATTAAATTATGACAGTAATCAAAACTATGTGGTATTAACAGAGAGAAAGACAGATGAATGGAACAAAATAACACAGAAATAGCCTCACACAAGTGCAGCCAACTAATATTTAACAAAGTTACAAAAACAATTCAATAGAGGAAGGATGGTTTTTCCACAAATTGTGCTGGAGCAACTGGATATAGACAGGCAAAAAAAAAAAAAAAAAAACCTACATCTAAATCTTATACCTTATGTACAATTTAACTCAAAATAGATCATAGATCTACATGTAAAACTCCAAAACTTAAGTTAGAAAACAGAAAAATCTTCAGGACCTAGGGCTTGAAGTGTTCTCAAATATGACAGCAAACAGGATACTCCTACGAGAAAAAAAATTAGAAACTTTTGCTCTTTCAAAGATCCTATTAAGAGAACAAAACGACAAGCTAAGACTAGGAGAAAATATTTACAAACTACGTATCCTGACAAATGGCTAATATCTAGAATATCTAATCAACTCTCAAAACCCAACAGTAAAAACAATCCAATTCGAAAATAGGCAAATGACATGAGATATTTCACTGAGGAGGCTATCTGGATGGAAAATAAGCACACAGAAAGATGATCAACACCACTAAGCTATCGAGGAAATGGAAATTAAAACCACAATGAGGCACCACTACTCACCTATTAGAACATTTAAAATAAAATAGAGTGACAATGCCAAATGCTGGTGAGGATGCAGGGAAAGCGCATTTCCCATATATTGCTGGTAGGAATGTCGAATGGTGCAACCACTTTGAAAAAGTTTGGCAATTTCTTAAAAATCTAACACACATATTACCTAGCAATTGTACTCTTAGGCATTTATCCTAGAGAAAGGAAAATTTATGTCCACACACAAATCTGCATGGGATTATTTACAGTGATTTTATTCATAATAGCCAAAAACTGTTTATAAACAAACAAAATGTCCTACGGTTGAAGAATGGCTAGACAAACTGGTACATCCCTATTATGGAATAGAATTCAGCAATATAGAAGGACAAACTATTGATGTACACAGTGACTTGAATAGACTTCAAGGGTGTTATGATGAGTGAAAAATACCAATCTCCAAAGGTCACAGACTATATATAAATTTTTCAAAATTATAGGGATAGAAAATGGGTTAG